TTTTCCTTTTTTAGGGAAGTAGAAAACCTTCATTTGGACTGGCTACTAAAAGTTAAGTTGAAAAAACCAATAAAAAAACTTTAAAATATTCGAAATAATGTAAAAATTGTTTATTAAATACAAAAAGAAAAATTTATCTCTTATAAATTTTTCCTTTTCGTTGAAATTTTTTTTTTTTTTGCTTTGCTTTTTCCAGGTTTCCAGGTTTTCTTTGACGTCGCTTTCCCAGTTACTCAAGTAAAATTCCCTGTGACTAATTTAAATTACAGCGTACCGTACGAAACACTCTTTCCGACGATTTCCGGATTTGCATATTCTCCAAAGTGCATGACCTTGCGTCCGTCACTGTTGATCCTCTCTAATTCCCGGATGTCTATGTGCGAGCCAATGCCCACTGGTACAATCTTTATTCCCATTTCTTTGATATGCTGAATTTTTTCCTTAACAAACTCTTTGTACTGCCTTAAACATATTTTGTGGTCTGTGAAAAACACCAGCACCTAAATGTAGAGTAAAGAAGCTCACCACTCTAGAGAAAACTTTTACGAAGGTAATTTTTCAGGTGCGTTCCGGTCGTGTTATAGTTAGTTTATATACAGAATCTCGAAAAGTGTATGGAGTAGTATCAAATCGTCCCATAAATATGGAGCTTAGGCCACTGAGGGATTTAAAAACCATCAACGCTTCTTCGATCATCCCTGTCACTTGAAATCCGGAGTACCCCCTCCCCCCGTCCCCTGGACTTTTTTAATCTCACGCTGAGTACTAAATATTTTTTCCAATTTAAATTTTTCCAATCTAGCGAAGCGCTTACAATATCTTACGTTTGCAGCCTTCATCTCGTCTGCTAATTGTTCTTTGTACGAAGTTCCTCCAAAAAGGCGGCAAGAGGAGGCGATCGGAGGAATATGAAGTCTTTAGGCAGTTATACTTGTTTTGTTTCTGTTTACGTTGTAGATTAACAATACTTCGCCCAGCAAGATCTGGTTATTAAGCCTTCCACATGACAACTAAGAAAGCGGAAATCAATTTTGTTCGCTATCTAGTACATACCTTTTCAGCTTCTGTCCGATTACCTTGACAGTGCGTAAAACCTGGACCCACTTTATCCAGATCTTCGTGAAGAGCAGGAATATTAACCTTGGAATTCCTTGTCAATCTATCCACTTTATCTGACAATTCCTCAGTAAAACACATTTCCCTCGATGTCGCATCTTCCTCATGAATCAAAAAGTGGTACTTCACTTGGTGGTTCTTGTAATTGTACAGCAAGTATTTAATTGTGTTTTTCATCAGTTCGAAGGCTTGATCAGCGACATCAGATGTCGCGTTGATAAGAAAAACAACGTCCATCTCTAAAGAAAGAAAACAGAACACTTTATGTCATTGACATCCAAAAGGGCATCTGATCCTATAAACAAACCAGCCTCCTAAAACCACGGTTACAAAATGCCATATGCAGAAAAGGTGAACATTAAGATAACACTAATAATTATTATATAGGTGCGGTTACACACACCATGGTAAAAGGCATTTTCCATGCACTATGCGGTTAAACGTAAATTAATTCCCAAGGTAATTTAGTCGCTTTTACGGCTTCATTCATTCGAGCTACTGCGGTAATAATTATAATCGCCGTCGATCATGGCAGTATTTCATGTTAATTCATATAAAATGCTGACAAAATTGGAAGACGTTTGTGATATCCAGTATAATAACGTTAATAGCACAGAATATCACCAGAAATAGGAAAGCAACCGAGAGACCCTGGGAACGAGGTTGCGTTAGCAACTGCTATTTGAAGAATATCTGCTCTACTAAAAATTCCTTTGTATCCTGAATTTGCGGAGGGAGAGGCAAGTAAAGTTATTCTCACTTGCGTGAACTTGCCATCGATCGTGGAAAGCACCTCCTGTATGAAGTATTTTAAATGAATAATAATTATCAGATGGGGCTGAGTAAGATCTGAATAAATATGCAGATCTAGGAGGGTGTTATCGTCCAAATCCACCATCTGAAATCTGCATTATTCTCCTGGTCATATTCGTTCTCATCCAACAATTGCTAAATCTTAAAAATCTCGCAATTAAACAGTCTGCGGACTTCTTAACAGACACCTTCGTAAGCAAAAAGCTCTGTCCAAAACATATTTTGGATACATTTCTCCTGGGCAGTTAATTATTAAGTTCAATTGCCCAATGGGCAAGTGTCGAGGCAAGTAAAATGCAGGCTGTGAAGTAATTGAAGTATTTGAAGTATCACCAAAGCATCACCATGCATGAGAAAGACCATCTAGCACTGAGTTACATCTTACATATCACAAATACTCTCTGCTTCTCTCCAAAATTTTGCATAAGCATGGTTCTCAATTTCTGTGGGGACGACTTTAAGTCCCAGAAGAAATTGAAAAGAACACTTCTGCAAATTTGTGGAGAAGAAACAAAAAGTATTATATTTTTGAATAAGGCCTATGTACAATCATTTAAGTACAGTGATACATGTGCTTTAACTTTTTTCATGAGTTTTTGTCATTTAATGTGAGCGATGCAAGCACCAGTTAAAAGAGGATGTCCGCTTACGAAAGCTTCGACTCCAAAGGCTTTTGACAAGTTTTCACCTTTGCTTCGGCGTGTAGCCTTCGTAATGTAATCCTTGATAGAAAACGTAGTGAACAGGAATGGAAACAAGACAATGTCAAATAGACACCAAATGTTGAGAACAATCCATTTCCACCATCCAAGCTCCAGCCAAGAGGATTTTTTCATTTTTCTAAATGATCCAAACCACTTTTTCTTCATCAAATTGTACATTACTGGATGAGCAAAAAACTGGCGAGAAAAAAAAAGAACTACATAAACAACAATATTGCAAAAAGATAATGTAAATTACTAGTTTTACGACATTGTTATGACTTATCATCAAAACTTGTGATTATTCCTCGATTTTGCGACTAAAAATTAGTTAAATACAGAAAATCTGAATTCAACTTACTTAATAAGAATCTGTCCAACAAGGAAGGCCTTTAAAAAACCGTATTGAAGCTCTTACGATTTCTTTCAAATGCATTTCCCAAGTTTCTAAGTTTTCCCTCCCTTTCGCCTAAACGTGGTAGGGAGGTTTCGGCTTGATGACCCTGGAAGCTATGCCAGTGGAGACCTGGTCCCTGGTGGGTTAAACCGTGCTGGGCAGGTTATGGATGAAGGGCCATATAAATTTCAACGCCTGGTCCTCTGGGTTGGGGAGTGGGCGATGGGTTAGTGTCCCATCCCCGTAAAAAAAATATCATTACAGAAACCAGTCACTCTTTTCAAGATAACAGGTTGCCTGAAAAGTGTGGAGGTCTTTTGAGCGATGGAGCACCAAGAGGCGAGGTAGGTAAGGTAAGCGTTCGCCAAGATAAAAGCTATTCCATTCTAAATGAATATTGATGAATAGGTAACGTAGAGGCTATGGGTTCGAGAACTCGTTGAAGCCCTGAAATCTTTTCGGGTTTAATTTGGAAATGCTTTAAATTGCGAGAATAATTGCGAAGATCCTGCCTTCATCTTTTTTGTATTTTTGCAGCTCACACCCCCTTCATTCTATGGACTTCATTCTATGAACTACAATGGTAACTCCGTCTCCGAGCTGGAAAAGATTGCAAAATCTTTAATCTTCTTTGTCGAATCTATTGCAAGTTCAAAAAAAAAACAACGTGGAAGAGTGTGATCAATCCAAACTAAGGAACTTTATTAGTCGAGCTTGCTTTAGCAGAGCGAGACTCTAAAAATGCAGGCATTTTTTCTTTTCTTATTATTTTCTAGTCGGTCTTCCCCAAATGGTCGGCCATGGTCCCAGGCGTTCCTAGAGGAGACCTTAGAAACTGGGGATAAGAATCATGACGACTTTCGTTGTATGCAAATGAGTCTCGTGATGAGCATGCGATTTATTTTCGGCGATGACTGAAATGACGCATGTAAGTTGATCACGTTTTTTGCTGTTTGGCAATGATGTAATTTTCTTCGATTCGAGGCCCTTGACTTTCGTGTAATTATGCACGCGTATTAAAAAGTAAATCCCTCGATGAGGAAATATTATAGCGGGGAAATCCTGTCTTGTGGTGTTTTGATGTTTCTCGGAATATTGTCGCAATTACTGGAACCCTACGGTTAAATAGATTCACTTTGTTGCATGTATTTAATTGATAGATTTTCGCAGTTGTTAAGATGTGACGTCGCGTTGCACTTTATAAATACTTGAAATATCAATGACCTAACCTTCGACAACTACTGGAAGAAGCTTCAACTACCCGTCTGACTTAGCTTTGTACTTGACTATCACGCACTCTACTTGCAGCACGTTATGTCAATCCATGTCCATAGAATAGAAATCCCATATTGAGCTTTTCCGAACCGCTTCCTCCACGAATTCTATTGCTTGAAAGCGTTGATTACTTTAGAACAAGTGATTACTTCAGTGGTCGAAAAAAAGAACAATCTTAACGAGCAAAACTTCGAGGTTTACTGGAAAACTAGGGTCGAAGATCCGTTAAAAAAACTTGAAATAAAATAAATGAATAAATCGTGGATCATGGTAATGTCATTGTGGGCCGCAGACTGTAGAATCTAACTCAGTTATACCTTAGATTTCCATCCGTAAACCCGATTATGTTTCGCTACCACAATAATCTGCTTCCTCCACCCTTCCTCAATCTGTTTATGACAAACAGTCAAGTCCATAGATATGAAACAAGAACAGCCAGTAATTATCGAGTGCATTGCTGTCGTACTAACATCAAGAAATTCACAATTCTTTACCAAGGACCTAGAATCTCGAACTGTCTTCCTACAAACTTGTCAAGCTTTTCTATCTTTAAGAACAAAGTGCTAGAGTTTTTATTAAAATAGTTACTGAATCAGTTTAGCCGCACTTCTTCGCAGCCCTTATTTCTTATAATATTCTGATGTCGAGGTTGGCCTCTCCTAATAGCCTAGTGGTTTCTTGAGGTATAATCGCCTAACAACTTGCTGTATCCTTTAAAATTTGTTCTAACACAAAGGCTAATAAATGATGATGATAATGGATCGAGTGTGTGGTCATCTACGAGCAAGGTAAATTTGGTCAACATTCTCAGACTTCAAAAGAGGCCAGCGAGAGTGATCCTGAATGCACCTTTTAACTCAAGATCCGTGGACCTGTGGATCTGTTTAATACACTATATTGGATTCCTTTTTATAGGAAGTCGCACATAAATTGATGCCCACTCATTCACAACAAACTTAAAGGAAACACTCCTAATTGTATGAATGAACTTCCAGTTATAAATTTCTAGCATGCATATGAGCAATACAAGATATTGTAATTCAAATTTGTTTTGTTCTATATATAATTATGCCACCGTGGGTGGTCGTTCTTCTACAGTTCGTTCTATTGAGGATTGGAACTCTATACCAAGATCTCTAAGAACTTTGGACAATTACTCACGTTTTTTTAAAAAAGCTTTTTTAAGAAATTGTTAGTTACTCAGAAAAAGGACTTAAGTTTTTAGCATATATAATTTTTGCATCTTAATCTTATCGCGATATTGTGTTTTTTTTAATCGGTATCTACATCATTTTTAATACATTTTTATGACTTAAAATTACAAACCTTCTTTTGCTCCAATTCAATGCCAGCATCTAAAAGGTAATCCAAGGAATCCCCAAAAGCATGACGAGACTCAGTGTTGGACTTCAAAGGGTCTAGTAAACAACTAGTGAACTCGTCCACCGAATTCGCCAACTTGGTGAAGTCTTCTTCATCAGGTCCCTTCTTCCCTGCCAAGCGGCGGAGCTCAAAGTTCGCCTGCGGAAGTTGATGGCAAAAAAGGCAGGAAATAAGCTCGAGATCCTCACTATTACAATGTAGTTTTCATTTATAGTTTTCACTGTTTTCATTTGTACTAAAATAAAATGCTAAAAAAACGTGGAGATTAATAAAATAAATTGGTATTGTTTTCACTTTACTTTTTTTATTAAAAATTTATCAATTTGTTTGGTAGTGGTACTCAAATAGAAAAAAGGTTGTTCGATTTTTTTCGTAAACTGGACTCAATCGATCTCAGTCCAGGATTGAGCTTCATTATGTTTTATTGGCTCGATAGTCGAACTCACAGGGAAAATACTGCTTGAAATTGTTCAATAGCTCAACTTAATTGAACTCGATTGAATTGATTGCGAGCGTCAAGGATTGACTCCGCCGAGAGCCCAATGACTGACGGCATAGCCTGAAACTGTACCTCTCGATCAGTCCAGCCCACTAAACATTTCACTACCGCAGCTCCCAATGAGAGTAGCACACCAAGGGCCAAAATGGTTCAAGTCTTCCTCTTTTAAAAAAATAATGAATCTCTGCTCACCTCCATTGCCATTAGTAACGCGTTAGCATCGCATTTTGTGAGAGCCCGCGGTGTCAGTGTGTCAGTGATATCATCCACATCGCCCTCCTGGAGAGTCTTTCTTAGGGATCTTTCGAATTCTACAAGACAAATCAGTAAGCTGATAAAGAGGTAAGTGGAAATGGACTGAAATCGGTCGGTGTTTTCACTTTCCCTCAAAGTGGTACAGGAAAAGGTGGTCGTGAAGGCGAGACAATATTCCTACACTTTGTAGTGCAATCGTGCGACACGATTATTATATAAGACAAAGGTAAAGAAGTAGTATTGAAAGAATTATCAAGGTAAACACTTGAGAGCAAGGCTGTTTTTGAAACGCCTATTTATTGTTTACAGTTTCATAATTTAGCCAGATTTTTACCTAATAGAGATCACACAACATAAGATAAATTATTCTGTCTTTAAAAATATATAGCTCATAGAACTCACTAAAAAATTCGCCTACAATCAATTCGATATCGCAATCGCAGAATTTCAAAACGGCCATGAATTAAAATAGACTCAAAGAAAACTAATGAATCTCTTGAATGAAATAAAGCATTGTTTGCCTGTTCTTTCCGAATGATCATCGTCTTTGTTTCTTTGGTGTCGATCCCCCATTTGTATCCCTTTACCTTGCTCTGTCATTATTCATTTGCCATCCCTACGAAGAAAATTGATTAATTCATTTTCCTAAGCTAATTATAACTTGATTTCATGCAGACTTACTTGCTAACTCGGGCTTTTTTGAGATCTTGTAGGATAAACTGTTTTAGCGAGCAAACTTTTAGCTAATAACTATTCTCATATTTAGTTCAGTTTAATTTTTTTTATCTGACTCATGAAAGCCAAATGGCCAAAACTTCGTTTCAAAAGTCAACCATAGCATAAGCAATACAGCGCACGCTTCTACGAAAACAAATAAAAGCTCCTTGGCCATGTATTTATGAACGGATTATCTATGCATACCCCTCAAAATATTAATAAATGGATTTAACCACGTGTTTCTATTGCCCTGTACATGCGCGTGCTTTCGTCCGGAAGGTTACAAATATTGACTAGCAACTTGAAGTAGTAGAAGTGATTGTGCTGAAATCTTTCCTTTTTGAAACAAATTGTTTTCCATTGGATATAACAGTCGGGACATGACGAAGTCCAAACACACATATTGCATAAATGTGTATTTCCCGACATTTTAAATGCAGAAAAAATGCATATAACGACAGTATAACCGGTGAAACAAGGTCTATTCTCTATTGAACTGGTACGGCTGCTTCGGTGGAACAAAACGTTTGATATTGTAGTAGTAAGCAGATTTTAGAGCTGAACGTTAACTCACCTGAACGACTATTTCCTGAGACTCTGGACACAATCCTTTTAGCTTACACCGGATTTTAAAGCCGCTTGAAACCTTAACCGAACCGTCCTCTAGCAAAAAGGGAATAAACTACAGCTGAAGTGTATCGCACTTGAATAGAATATTTATTACGTCCGATTTCTTTTTGCCAATGAGTGGGAGCCAAGGGAATAAATTGGCAGCAACAAGCAGGCGGCAAAGTTGCGTGCATCGCAAAGTATTGTTATTTTTGTTGTCATTAATAAAAGAAATTTTCTCTTTTGGTAGATGAGAACCGCAGCTTATGAAAACTGAAGAAAATGCTTCATTAACGAATCTAACTTTCAATGACTTTCAATTATTGTTCTTGTCATCGCATTTTCCTATGAAAGGTGTCGAGTCGGTGTGGGCATCTGTTTTGCCTTTTACCTGAAAACCGTGTCCTAGCGGTTTGTAGAAGACTGGTTAGGCCATTTATTTGCACGATGACGTACGTGCAATTGTATCTCTACTAACAGAATGTTTTGATGTTTTGCTTATTGTGAAATTGAGGGGGGGGGGAGGGGGAGACCAGAACAGAGAGAGCCGTGAAATTCCAACCTAGACGCTGTCAACAACAGTCGTATTCAGGACAACACTCACTCAGACGAACATACAATATTCCATCCACTTAACCTATAAAGTGACAAAGCCAGTGGAAACGAAGGGCAAGGGAGTTGCAAAGCTAGGACAAAAAAAATTAATTTGCATTAATCAGAATTGACATAAATTAATATATATTTTGCAGACATACAACGGAGAACTGGGATAGAGGTGTCGCGGTTGGAGGTTTCAAATTGCGTTTGTTAAGTTATTTCCTGTCAATCTACCGCCACCATCGCCATGTTAACTTGTTTCTTTAAACTGAGTTTCAGTCGCTCTATATGCCTGAATTTAGTTCTATAAAAGTATTTTATTAGTATTTTAAATAGCATCTCGTCTTCCATAGCATAGGTTAGGGTGTACGGTCCCTACTTTTCAAATGTAGCTGGTTTTCGTGTTTTCAACATTTTCACATAGTAATAATAATAATAAAATAATAATTATAATAATAATAAATATTTATATAGCGCATATACTTATAGACCATAAAGTACCTTGTTAACTTCCCAAAATTTGGCATAACTATTGTTTTCGTTTCCTCTCAGGGTGACTGTAATACCCAAGAGAAATTGGAAA